GCCCAAGAAAGGGTTTTGGGTCAACTCTGATCCAATGCTTCTTAACCTATGATTCATTATCACATGCCCCACATCCCCATCCAATACTCTTGTGGATACTTTTCTCCTAAATGCTACCACCCCCATGGAATTTTAGTAGCTCAGTTATATTGCATGTCTCTTTAGGCATCCATTATGATATCTAAGATTTTTTCATCTCCCAAGAACCAAGTTTTGTCTCCCTCATGAGAATGTATGCTGTAGAGGACTCCCTGAAGGTTTGGTCCCGTGTGTTCTTTTATCCAAACAGAACAGCAAAGAGCTGGATATCTAAGAATGGAACTGGGAGTAAAAAAAAAGAGAAGTCTTCTCTTGCCCTTTCCTCAAACAGGAAGCTCAAACAGGAAGTGGGACGGAGTGCTAGGTGTATTCCTCTTGCCCCTCCCCATCGGCAATCTGCCCTTCTCCACCCTGCTGTCTTAGAGGCTTGACGGTTACAGACCTCACATCAAGCTCCCTCTGGCTTCAAGGAGAGCTCAGCAGGAGATGGAGGGGTGGGGGAAGGGAGGCTGGAGAGTGAGGGGAGACTGGCTCCCTCCTTGTGAGGTCATCCTGTCTGGCTGTGTCCTTCGGTCACTTGACTCCTCCTAGGTTCTCCTACTGGGTTCTGGTAGCAGGTCCTACTCCCTTCCCTTGGGTAGAGATGGTAACAACTCTATTTTCACTAGTTCCAGGTTATAACCCCCATGGGGTTCCCTTGTACCCACGTATTTGTAAACATATCCAATGTTCCTTGTGCCTTCCATTTCCTGTTGAGACCCTGAATGATTGACGCGGCGGGTAGGGGAGGTCTGGTTACTGCACCTCAGGAGGAACCTGCTGGAGCTGGAATGAGGCTAGCAGAGGGCAGGCGAGAGGCTGGCGGGGGGTTAGTTAAAATGGGGCAGGAGGAGGAGGACAAGGCATCACTGCCCTAAAAAAGGAAGCTGGGGCTTCCCTGGTGGCATAGTGGTTGAGAGTCCGCCTGCCGATGCAGGGGACACGGGTTCGTGCCCCGGCCCAGGAAGATCCCACATGCCACGAGTGCCTGGGCCCGTGAACCATGGCTGCTGAGCCTGTGCGTCCGGAGCTTGTGCTCCACAACGGGAGAGGCCACAACAGTGAGAGGCCCGCGTACCACAAAAAAAAAAAAAAAGGAAGCTGAAAGGGGCCTTGATCTGGTTTGTGGAATGAGGTGGAAAATGAACTTCTCCCTACATGGTCATCAAGGATCCACTACAGCTTGAGAGGTAATTTTAAGAAAATCGTGGTCCATCTCCCTCACATAGATGGCACTGACGTAGCTCCTTCCCCCCCCCAAGGCTGTAGCCCTGGCTTGCATTCACAGAGAGGTGAACGAGGGAAATGAAAGTCCTGCACGACTGACCTCAAGGCGGTGCTTAAAGTAGGTCGGGCTCTGTGGGGACATCCTCACCCTTATGGGATGAGGCCAGAGAAGTGGACCTGGTCTCCTTAAATTGCCCTCTGGGTTTCCCATCAGAGGCAGAGTGTGAGTCTGGGAATCCTTCCCAAGGGAAGAGGCAGGTCTGGGCGAATCATTGATCTTGTGGGTTCAGGGGGCGCTATGCTCCTGGGCGAGACAGTGGGTAGAGGGGAAGGATCACAGGCTTCCAGGGGCGATCACCTAGGCTTGAATCCCACCTCCTCACCTCTCTGGACCATCCCCCGTCTCACAGAGCTGCCATGAGGATTAGACGAGAAAGTGCACATAAAGGCAGCCAGGCCCCCCTTCCTAGCCGATTAAAAGTCTCATGTTCTGAGCCCACCAAGCCTCTTCCCGGCTCTTCCCCTGGGAGCAGGGGGCAACCAAGCCTCACAGGCTCCCGGCTCCAGAAGCCACAGAGTGAAAGTAAGAAGCTTGTTGTCATGGATGGGGGTGGGTGGGCACATTATCTTGAAGCCTCCTAATCCCATTTTCTGCTTTCATGTTAATCCTTTCATGTTAATCCTCTTCCACACTCAATCTGCCACACTCAACTCCCAGGGCACCGACCCGGAGAGAGAGCCGGGTTCCACCTCCTCCAGGCAACGGCAGTGCTCCCTGGTGTGGGTGCTGGAGGTGGAGTGTCGGGGGACAGTCTGGCTGTGCCTGGGTCCTCCCCAGCTGACCTGGATACTCTTGTAGGCCAGGCCTTGGATGATTGTGGAGGGCTCAGCTCACTCATAACAATAACAATGACGGTATCAGTATTTCCTAAGTACTGTTTGCTGACCCTGGCTAAGACTTTTTTTTTGCGGTACGCGGGCCTCTCACTGTTGTGGCCTCTCCCATTGCGGAGCACAAGCTCCGGACGCACAGGCTCAGCGGCCATGGCTCATGGGCCCAGCCGCTCCTTGGCATGTGGGATCTTCCCAGACCAGGGCACGAACCCGTGTCCCCTGCATCGGCAGGTGGACTCTCAACCACTGCGCCACCAGGGAAGCCCTGGCTAAGACTTTTATGTATGTAATTTCGTTCAATTCCCATGACACTCCTGTGAAGCAGGTATCATAAATCTGAAATTTGCAGGTTAGGAGATGGAGGCTCAGGGAGTCGTCCCGGCCCAGATCACACAGTGAGCAAAGAGAAAGACTGGCCAGAATTCCTCCAGAACCTCATGGGGGACCAGTGGCAACACAGGCCCTTTCGTGTTGCTTCCTACTCCTCCAGCCCTGGAAAGGGCCCACCTCCCTCCTCTGGTCCTATCACCTGAGGCTTCTGTTGGGCGAATGCATTTCTTCCATGCACTAGATCTTGGTGTCACTGGCTGTGCAGTGGAGTGGAAAGAACGTAGACTTTGGGGTTGGCAGGGATGGGTCCGGCTTCCTCAGGAAGGGAACAAGATGTTCCCAGGAGCTGAACGTTTTCCAGGGACACAGGTGGCTATGTGGAAAGGGCCATCTGGGGGGAGGATGATTCTGCCTCCGGCTTTCACTCTCTACCCCATTCCTTTCAGGGCACTCCACCACTTCTCCACCCCCAGCTGCAAATGCCCCTTTCTACTTTGCAGGACTGAGCCTGGCCATTTTTGCCCCCCTGATATAGGTTTGGAGGCAAGGCTCACTCCACTGAGGAAGCAGCTGTTTACCACCCCTTTAGCTACCTGTGGGTGAGTCTTTCTAAGAAGGTTTGATGCACTTTGGACCTCCATTTGAGTTTGGCACACACTCAGAGTATGGGCTCCCTGACTCTGACTTAGATTCCTCTTACAGCAATTCTCCCTCCAGAACAGGCTTGGAAGTTAGGGCTGGGTTTGAATGCTCATTAAATCCCTTTGCAGCTGTGACCTGGGCTTCGGTTTTCAGGTCTGTAAAACTGGAGTGATAATCACACCTTGACGAGGCCACAGCCTGTGCCTCTCCACGGGCCAGTGAACCCCTCCTCTGGAAGCCCAGAGGCAGTGGCTGGTTCATCTTCAGCCTTCGCTTTCCTCACTGAGTCACACAGTTCCTGAGCCTGCGGGTCTCTCTGCTGACTGTAACCAGGGTCTTTGTTCCCCTCTGGATAGCACAGACCCCGCAGACCTTCCTGCCCCAGCCCTGTGGAACCCCCTTGGGTCCAGCATGGTGACGTGGTTCTCCTGTCCTCAGAGCTCCACAGACTGGTGGGCAGTTGAACAACAGAGGGCACTGTAAACTCTAACACTGGCTAGCAAGGGGTAGGCTACCCGTGCGGTAGCGTGTGAATTCAGCTGAGGAAAGAGCTCTGGAGGCTGATGGAAGCCGAGTTCCTCCTGGGAGGGGTGGGACTGAGAGTGGTGAGCGTGGGCAGGACATGGCTTGGTTGAATCGTGGTGTGAGGTTCTGTGGAGGCTCTGACCCTCCCTGCCCTCCACGATCACCAAGCCCAGGTAACCAGAGGCAAGATGTAGGACGTGTGGGCTGGGCATGGTGGTGGCAAGGTGCAACCCTGAGGGTCTGAGCGGGCGTCCACGATGAGGACTCCAGAGCTAACATCGGCTCTTCAACCACTCAGAACTACGGGGACGTCCTGTGCATGAGAAATTTCACCGACTGCATCTGCTGAGAAAACACTGGATTCTGAGTTGAACTTTGGTTATTCTTTTTAAAGCCCTCAAAGGCTTGTGCACGTTGAGAATATTCTAGAAGTAGAATGGTGTACAGGGGAGAAGATGTGGGATTTCAAGTTTGAAGACTTGCATCCACGCTGGGGCTCTCTCTGGCCTCACTGTGATCTTGAACTCTTTCACTTTGGGCTTCCATATACTCGGGCCTTTCCCTGTTAGACCCTCCCTCCCAAAACCCAGGAAGAGGGGACCTGGCTTTCCATTGACTTTTCTGTCTCCGCACTTTCCATATATTTATTTCTTGCTCAAAGAAAGACTCTGAGGGCTTCCCTAGTGGCGCAGTGGTTGAGAGTCCGCCTGCTGATGTAGGGGACACGGGTTCGTGCCCCAGTCCGGGAAGATCCCACATGCCGCGGAGCGGCTGGGCCTGGGAGCCATGGCTGCTGAGCCCGCGCGTCCAGAGCCTGTGCTCCGCAACGGGAGAGGCCGCAGCAGTGAGAGGGCCGCGTACCGCAAAAAAAAAAAAAAAAAAAAAAGAAAGGCTCTGAGAAAGGCAAGTGTGCATTACCACGTGGTGGGCAGTGGTGATGATGGCCAGGCCCAACCCTGCACAGAGGCAAAGCTGACCTGAGTGGAGGCTGCCCAGAGCACCCTGGCGTTGCTGACATCCCACCGTTAGGACATGAGTCCTCTGGGTAAAGGCTTTGTATAGAAGAAGCGAGTGTGTGTTAAAATTTTAACCTTGTTAGTCCCTCCTGTCTTTTGTTAGGACATGGATGTAGAGGGCCAAGGACGGAGACGGGAACCATGGGAGCAGGGCCTGAACACACACTGTGCCAGCTTCAGTGTTTGCATGGAGACTTCACTCCTTCATCACACGCTGCCCCCGCCCCCAAACAGACACCAAAGACAAAACTGAAGACGAGAAAGGCAGCCCAGGAAAATGCGGCTTGAGAAGAGCCCTTGCCATGAAATGTCCTTTTATTAATTGATTTTTTTTTTTTCTTACAAAAATAAACATTTTAATGAACAAGAAGTACAAAAGCTTCTGGATATACAAACTCCAGGAGCGGGGAGAGGCTGCTTTTGGCTGCTTTGCGGCTTTCACTGAAAGCAAATGAGGCAGAAAGGCCCCGGCCCCACCCCCGCCCCAGGTCCTGGCTCAAACTGCTACCTGCCCCTCAACCCCATGACCTGGCTCATACCTCGCGTGCTCCTGTGCCCCTGCTCCTGGGCTGGCCGGTCAGCGCCCCTGTCGGGCCCAGAGGCGGCCTCCCCAGGTACAGAATCACCCATCTCCCGGAGCATCCTTTCAAGTCTCCAGTCTGGAGCTTGGCTAAGAGAACACTCTGTGACTGACTGTCCCCACGCGGCCCCGGCCGGGCCATGGCACAGGCAGCAGCAACGGCAGCAGGGTCTCTGGCTACATTCTCGCGCTACGAACACAGTGATGGGGCTGCCCACAGAACTGTCCCAGTGAGGGGCAGAGCCCCCAGTGGCGAGACCGTCCTGAGCCTCGCTGGCAGCCCAGAGGGTGAGAGGGGCAGTCAGCCCTCCGTGATTCCTGCCCTGGAGCCAGCAGTCCCAGACCTAGACTGGTAAACTCACATTTTAACATGTGGCATTATTGCACGTTGTCCTGGTCACCTCGGTCTGTCGGGGATGTCAGCCTTGTCTGCAGGGGTGCCCAGGTGACATGCAGTGCTGCCAGTGCAAGTCACAGGCAAGCCCAGCTGGCAGGGATGGTCAGCTGAGCCCACAGACAGGTCAGCCAGAGGCCCTCACATATGTGGTCTTGCTGGGATCAGGGACCACGTGGCTCCATCCTGTCTTGAAAAAGACTAGTTGCCGACCTGGGGGCAGAGGTAAGAGGTAACAGGACTGGATGATTCTCTCCCTGGACGCAGGGCCACTCTCCTCATAACGCAACTGCCCTGAGGACACTTGTCTTCTCACCATCGCTGGCTTCTGATGGGGGACCGCTACCTGTCAATCTCTTCCGGGGAGTCCAGTCACCTCCCTCAGGATGTCCTTTCCCACTGGCTCACCTGTCCAAGTGGTCTGGTTGGTGACCACAAAGGCCTGGCACTGGGCATGGCTCTCACAGATGTCCACAGCCTCGGCCAGGTTGAACACTGAAAGCAGGCAGCTTCCGTGGTGGTAGGATGGCCAGCAGCGGTAGTCTTCCTGGGGGATGGTACTGCCTGGGAGGTGCTGGTACTCTGTGGGTTGGGGATGGAGCTCAGATGAGAACTCTCTGTGCCCAGGGGTAAGGGCTGGGGTCGCTTTCTTTAAAGGGCTATGAGCCACATTTCCTAGGTGAGGGCTGAAATCCAGCCCAGTCCTCCTAGCATGGAGTTGAAAGCAGCTACCACTGTGAAACTGGGATGACCACACAGGAAAGGCAAAGCTCAGGTTGACTTTTTGGGAGACACACGTCTCCATATATAAGGGCACACACTCGTTCAGGCTACACATGACGGCGGGCACAGGCATGGGATAAGTGCACACACAGAGCCATCGGCTGACCAGGGAGATTGCTGAGCTCAGAACATTTTAGACATTTAAAGCCGGGCTTCTCAAACTTCAATGTGCATGTGAACCTCCAGGGAATCTTGTTAAAATGCAGATTCTGATTCAGAAGGTCTGGGGTGGGGCTTGGGAACTGGCATTTCCAACCAGCTTCTGGTGCTGCTGGTTGGCAGACCACATTTTGAGTGGCAAAGAGTTTAGAGCTGCCCTTTGGTCCCATTTCCTCCTGGCCTTGGGGAGAGAGGCTAGGCCAGTTCCTCGGACAGGGGGTCAGTCATGGAGTTTTTGAAGTTCAGAGGCGTGCAAATGAATGTAAAACACAAAAAATGACCATTTGGGAATCCACACCTTGAGTATTTGGGGCAGAGGCTGGAGGAAGAATGTGAAATCTCCCCATTTCACAGAAAGAGCCCCACAGAAGGCTCTGAAATCTCCTCAATCCAGAAGCTGCTTAGCCGCAGGCCTCCTGTTCCCGCGAGTCTTTCCCGCTGCCTGGGGAGCCCCGGCTCTGGACTGATAATGCAGAAGCCCTGGGCCTCCGGCCACCCCGCCCTCCTGCCTCCGTCTTCTACCAGGGACTAGACCAAAGTCCAGGGCTGGCTGTGATTTATAGCCCCATAAACAGCGTCCTCAGGGACAGAGCCAGCCATTGTTCACCTCGTTAAACTTTATTTACAGGGCTAACGAGGGCTTCCCCACCCTTAAGACTGGCCAGAGCTCCTTGAATACAGAGGCTGCCCATCCCTCGCCCCCCCTGCCAACCATGCTAAACCCCAGGGCCTCAGCAGGAGAGACCACAGCCCACAAGCCGTGGCTAGAACTCTCTCTCTGCCCTGGAGCTTCTTAACTGGTTTCAGTGTGGAGCCCCTTCTCCACCTCCAGCCACCCTCCCAGCCCCAGAAGGGCGAGGAAGGAAAGAGTAGCAAACATATATTGTGTTCAAGCTGTGTAACAGGAAACGAGTTAACTGCTGTCACACATTTCACCTGCCATTTAATCCCCATAAGAATTCTGAGGCAGGTAATACTGAACCCAATTCACTGATGAGGAAAGTGAGGCTCAAGGTGTAAGTTAACTTGCTCATAGTCACGCAGTCAGTACACAGTGGGGTTTGCAGCCACCCAGAGAAGGGGTGTCAGCGCCCACCCCCCAGTTCAAGGCACAATTATAGTTGTTCTAGCTCAGTCGAAGTGAAAGGTAAACAGCGGTCTCAGAGGGAGGATGAGCCACTTCCCCGATTAGGGGAATCACCCACCCTCGCACCTGTTCCCCACCTCCCCAGCCCCTGGATCCTCGCCGGGGCCACTCACCGGCTCTGCCGGCCTCCGTGGAGTTCTGCAGATACTGCCCGCTCCGGTACAGGTGCAGCACCTTCTCCAGCTGGGCCAGGGTCTCGTCCACCCCCCAGGTGAGCTCTCCTGCAGAGTGCACGGTGCTGTAAGAGGGTACCTGGGCTCCTACTTCTCCCTGAGGTAGGCAGCCAGCTGCCTTTCCCCCCTCCCTCTGGAGCCTGGGCCCCGATGACTGGAGGACTGGGCACTGAGTTTGCCACAGAATGCCACTTTGGGAAATGATGTTTCTGGACCATGTGCTGCCCTGGGTCATTCTTATGCCCATGCTTGCTGGGGGTGGGAGATGGTGACGGGAGGCAGGTGGGCACTGGAGAGCATACCTGTGGCATTGACAATGCTGTCCAAGAGAGGCCGTAGTGAGGGTGGGGCACTATGGGGCAGGAGGTATGTGAAGAAAAACCTGGGGCAGAGAGAAATCAGGGGCTTAGTGCTTCAGCCTTTGGGGACATATCCTTCTTCTACCCCAACTTGGGACAGAACCCCAACCTGGCCAGGGAGCCTGCTCTGTCAGGCTAACCAACTGGGCCTATAGCCCCGGAGTGTGCCAAGGAGTCTATTCAGACTCAGGGTCGGGGTCTGGGCACATGCTAAGGCCACAGGTAACCTCATACCAAACTGAAATCTGAGGTCTGTTTTCCCCACCCGTCCCAGGGACCTTCCCACCCCTCAGCCCCGCATTATCGCCCGGCTGACCCGTGTCAGAGCAGCCCCATGGCTTGGCTCTATGAGGAGCTTCCAGAGGTGAAGGGCCAGGGGAGGAAGGGGCAGGGCCTGTCCCACCAGCTCTAAGCTCTGAGTCTGACACTATTTTAAGAAGCCTCCAGCTGCCACCCCCAACCCAGATTCTCCTTGGGGCTGACTATTTTTAGCCTCATGGTCAGGAGCCTGAATGTTCCCTTCTTGAAGGGGTGGAGGCCTTCCCCCGCCCCTGCTACTCCGCTGGTCATGGCTGCGTCTGGCTGGCCTCCTGGACCCCATGCTGGCTCCCTCCCTGCGAGCCCCCACCCCCACCCCGGGCTCCCGCTCCCTCGCCGCCGGCCTTCCTGAGTGGAGATGGAGGTCACCTGTAGGCATTGTAGAGGTTGCGTTTCTCATTCATGGCCTCGCACCAGCCCTGGGCTGAGCAGGGCAGGGTGAAATTCCTGGCTGGGAACTCGAGTGTGCAGTCAGCGCTGCCTGTGCACGGTGTCTCCTCCACGCGGGCGTCATCCAGATCCGTCACCTTCAATTCCCCATCCACCAGCACGAACTGTCGGGGGCGGAAGTCCAGCAGAGTGACCGAGCCCAGCGGGGAGTGGGCCAGGTGGTGGAGGAGGCGGCCCAGGCTCAGGCAGATCTGAGGGGCAAACACCAGGCTGCTCACGGCTTCTCTCCTGGAAGGGTGCCTGGGGGCTCCCCGCTTTGGTGCTCTGGACTGAGCTTGGGGGTTTGCCTTTTTCTTCAAGGCTCTGGAGCTCACTAAGGACTGAGGCCTGGGGCCTTACTGAGCAAGCCAGCGATTTTCTATTACCCCCGGTGGGCCTGACCCTGAGGGTAACATGGAATAAGTGGGAAATGGGCAGTCTGGGCATAGAGCATATCCTCCCTGAAGCTGCATCTTCAGTGTGGTTTCTGTGCAGTGTATGCAAATAGAGGGAGGGTCGAGATGACCTTAAGCTCTTTTCTAGTCTTAGGACACTGGCCCTCCTGCAGCCAGGCTGAGAGTATGTGTGAGTGTGTGTGTCAGGGCGGCAGGAGCACAAAAACCTCAGGATCCTCTTTGCCTCGTTTCTTTTTTTAACCCTTTGGCCGATGGCCGAGTCAGCTTTGCTCCATCCTTCCCTCCCTCTCCCTCAACTGAGGAGGAGTTGAAGCTGCTCTGGAGATCTGGCCTTCTAAGGGAGAACCATCGCAGCAAGGAGCCCGGGGCCCTGGCCCTCTTCCCTGCTCACTCGGAAGCGATCCTCCCAGGAAGTCTGCAGCAGCTGGATCATTTCCACAGGGGCGCCCAGCTCCGTGATGGTGGTCAGGGTGTCTGGGATGTCCTCGCTGTCCTGGTAGCAGTAGCCATAGAGCTGGAAGAGGCCCAGGCGGGTCATGAGGTCACAGGATGGGAGTGGGGACAAGGAAGGGCTGGGTTTTCACATGCCCCCCACCCTCCCATCCCTAGGTCTCTGCTTCAGCTCGGGCCAGAAGAGAATAGCAACGTTGCCTGGGAAGCTTGCCCTCTGTCCCAGCAGCCAGAGTTCCTACTGATTCCATCAGCCCCTTACCTCTGGCCACTCAGGTAAATGGGCAGGTCTGGCCAACTTGTGTTAACCATGTGCCAGGCACTGTGCTAAATGTTTTATAAGCAAAACTCAATTCTTAGAATAACCTTAAAAGAGCATAGTAGGTACTATTAGTGTCTCCAATTCACATGTAAGGAAACCAACTCAGACAGGTTAAGTTACCTCCCCAAGGCCACACAGCTAAGAATTGCAGGAGCCAGGATTCAAATTTATGTTACTCTGATTCCACAGCCTTGTTCTTTCCATGAGTACCATTTGCTAATCGCCCAGCCAACAAATGGATGTTATACCTCCTCCCCTGCTCTAATCCTTGTCTTTGCTTCATCATTTTCACTTTCTGGCACCTTCATTTTTCCTCTGCTCTGGTCTTTCTGGAGGAAAAGCAATCTCCCTTGGGATTGGTAACAAGTGTCGATCAGAACAAAAAGTATCCAAGGGGCATATCACTGGGTGTTCTCTGCATAGCTGGTGGGCAGGGCAGGGTGGGGTGGGGTCACCCATATCAACTGGGGGAGTAGTAAGGGTGGTTCCTGGGGAAGGTCAGTTCTTTGAGGGCAGGGTCACAAGGGCCGGCCCGCTCCATGTGATCTGGGGGAGGGGCTCCGTACAGCTCAGCTGGCCAGGGGCTTCTGGGAAGCACAGCCTGACTCTGTCACTGACACCTCAACCAGCATCCACAGAGATCTCTGCTTCTCCCAGTCTCTCCCACCATGCTGCACATCAGCTAAGGATCAGCCGGTGCTCAAAACAACCAGCACCCTGTAGGGAGGAGGAACACAAAGGCTGAGTTGTCTGGGCCAGAGTGGGAAGAGGGGAGGGCTGCACGATGGGGGGTGCCGGTGGGGTGAGGCGGCAGGGGAGTCAAGCCCCTGGGCTAGATGTCCCTGCACACCGTCACCCTTCACACCCTTCCCAGCTCCACTCCAGGTCCTTATATGCTCCCTTCCATCCCAGGAGTGCCCTTGCAGCTCCCCGTCCCTGGAGCCAGCTACCTCAGTCCTGCTGGCACGAGGGAAGGCATGTCTCCGTGTCGCTTTCAGATCACTAGGGCTGCAGCTTGGGGGGGTCAGGGGGAAATCCCCGGGGCCCCCTTCTTCCCTCTCTCTCTACCCTCCCCACCCCACATCAGCCCAGGGAGACCCCAGACCCCAGTGGGGCAGAGGTAGGGGTGAGGTAAAAGGAGCAGCCCTGGAGCCTGGTTCTCATTTTCTTGCCCAGAGTCTGAGCCTTTGTGGAAAACTTCTGAAGGTTATTAAACACCCGGAGGTCGTTAAATGCGCTGTTAACGAGGTATTAATCAACACCCCTCAGGAAAAAATAAAAAGACACCATTAACCACCCCCCCTCCCCAGGAAGCCTGAGGCTGAGCATTTCAGTCGAATCTTTTGTTCCTTTGGGAGAAGAAATATACTCTAGCAGGGCCAGAATCAGGGCCCAAGTAGGCCTGGGGCCCCATCTGAGGCCTGAGGCCCTGGGAAAGACAGTGATGCAGGGGAGGGAAGACCCTTGTGCCCTTTGACCCTGGGCTATAGAGGCATCTATCATGTGAGGGAGTGTGTGTGTGTGTGTGTGTGTGTGTGTGTGTGTGTGTGCGTGTGTGTGTGTGTGTGTGTGTGAGAGAGAGAGAGAGAGAGAGAGAGGGAGAGAGAGAGAGAGAGAGAGAGAGAGAGAGGGAGGTGGGTTGGGGAGGGGTCACAGAGATGGATGGAGAGATCTCGCCCAGGCAGTCCCCGGACTGAGCAAGCTCTGAGAAGGGCCAGTGGGACATGCTATCCTGGCCCTTTTCTATTAGAACCAGCACCAACTTCAGGGCTGCCAGAGAGGCGGAGGGGGCCTCGGGGAGCGGGAAACACTCTCTGGCTCCTCCCCGGTTCAGCAAACAGTCGAACAGTTTTGAAATTTTAAACGATTAAGACGTATTAAAACAACATTATTTCTAGTTCCCTGCACACCAGAACTGGAGCCTCCTGAGCAGGAAGTCCCCCAAGCAGGCTTACCTGGAGCAGAGGTGGCATTGCTGAAGAAGCCAGAGGGATACTGGCCTGGGGGTTGGGGGACGAATGTAGGAGACCCAATACCAAGGCAGTCCCGAAATTCACACCAAGGTAGCTCTACCTCCCCGTAATGGTAGCTTTTCACCTCTCCCCTGACAGAAAGGACCTGGCACCCTCTCCATCTTGTAACACTTCTGTCCTAGGGCAACTAACCCCAGTCTCCGACCCTGTAAGAGTAACACAGCCAACCCAGTCTCGGTCTAGAGAGAGAACAAGTGAAAACTATTCAGTTGTAATTTTTTCCCCTTTGGCACCTTCAGCATTGGGCTGGGGGCCTGACATATGCGTGAGGGCGGTTAGCTGGATGCTCGTCTTGAAGTTTGGGTGGGGTAAGAGAGGGCGGGAGAAGTTCCTTAAGAGACAGGAAAGCGCATCAAACCTCAAATCCCTCATAAGGGAGGGGGGTGGGGTCTTGAGTCAATTAACTAACACTTAATATCCTGCTAACACACTCAAGACCTTCTCCACTGCCTCAGAATCTGGCCTACACCCCAGGTTTCCAAAAGGTTCCCAGGAGCTCCTGGGAAGCAAAGAGAACAAGATCCTCCCAGTTAGAAGGGCCACGTGACCCACTGCTCACTCCCTGTAGCTCCAGTGTCAGCCGTGCAACAGTTGGCTGACACTGGAGCGTAACCACCCATAACTGTTGGCTCTGCCTGACCTTCTGCAACCAGTTCAGGGCCCAGGACCCAGTCAACGTGTGTCTGACCAGGGCTGGAGTAGCCCAGGGAGACTGGGAGCCAGCAGTAGTATAAACAGCTCTCTGGCTTCTCTCTCCTATTCTGCCAGGCCCACCCAGATCTGGTGTCCAACTCACTCCTGAGGAAAGGAGGGAAGGATTCCTGGGTTTCTGACCAGTTCTGCCGGGTGCAGAAAGGTTAATTTGAGTGGGCTAGGAGGTGGAAGGTGTGGGCAACATTCCTCAGCTGGGGAGTCTGAACAAACCCTATGCTCACCGGGCCAAAAGCAGCCAGGGATTCCCCTCTCAGTCCGCTCAGACATGTGCTAAGGGAACGGTTCGTCTAATCCTAGGGCTGACTCAAGGACCGAGGGGAGCTGGGGGAGAGGGGGAAGTGGGTGTGCTAGGGCAGTGCTGGGACTATGAGAGGCCCACTCTCTTAGTCTAGCCTGGAGGGAACAAGGTTGGGTCTCATCTTTCCCCTGTCCCCCAGTGAACGGGAGAGACAGAGTCCCATTTAGTAGGCACCTGGGCATCTGGTCTTCTCAATCTTCCAGCCTCTTGGCCACATTTGCTCAGATAATGTGACATGCAGACCCTCAGGTCCTCAGCCTGTCCCCCGAGCACTGAGCTAGGACCCCGAGGCTTCCTCAATACTTCCAAAGCCTACTTTGAGGCCAGGGTCTCTTCTGGGAAGGGCCATGCATTTTCTGGCCTACTGTCCAATCCCCTCCAGTCCTTTCAGCAGCTTCTGGGTGGGGTACGGGATATTCTCTGGGAATCAAGTCTGGTCTTTTTCTAGCTCTTCCCAACCCCATTGCAGTTCCACCCCAACTTCAAAGCCAGACAAGTCACTGGAAGTTGAGAGAAGTGGGGTTCAGATTCCATCAAGAAAAGGGACCCTATCACTGCAGTTGGGACCCTGACTCAGGGATGACCTCTGTTCATTGTTTTGGCTGGGGTCCCTTCCCCGGTGCTCAACACCCCAGCTCCAGCCAGAAGCAGGGTCCTAAGCCCGAATGGACCCCCACCCCTACCCCGAGTCTGGGGACCCTCTGTCCTGTCTTCAAGAGATACGGTTTGGAAGCTGAGAAACCCGGGAGTCTCTCCGTAACGGGTCGCCCACCCAAGCAGGATGGTGTAATGGGAAGCTGCCACTGTCCGGGTTCTGCCCCTATCTTAACCTGGGCAGTCATCAGGGCTTCGCTTCTTTATCTGTTAAGACCAAGGCTTCTCTTCCAGCCCGAGTGGTCGAGCACTGGCACGTCCAGCCAGCACCCTTATCCCTGCACCCGCCCCCCTCGTACCTGCAGCACGTTGGGGTGCCGCAGCCGCTCCAGCAGCACCATCTCCTTGAGCAGCTTGTGGGCCGCCAGCCGATAGCAGCCCCTCCGCGCCCCGAACTCGCGCACACAGCTGCCCAGATCGTGGCCGCTGAAGTCCACCGCCTTGAGCGCCACCGCGACGCCGCCGGGCAGGCGGACCCGGTACACGGCCTTGGTGTAGCCGGAGCCCACGTACTGTGCGCCGGACACGTTGCGGAGCGCGGCGCAGCCCAGGCGCGGGCCCGGGCCGGAGGATCCCGGGCCGGGGGAGCCCGGGCCAGGAGCCGGGGGCCAGCCCGGAGCGCCGTCGGGCAGGGGCCGGGCCCGCGGGGGGCGGGGACGCTGCAGGCCCGGGCCGCCCGGAGCTAGGTCCATCAGGCGCCGCCGCTCCGGCCGGCCGGCCCCGGGACCGGGGCCCCCGCGGGAATAGCGCTGCACCTCCTCGTAGCGCGCTCGGATCTGCCGGGCCAGCTCCCCGCGGCCCCCGCGACGGCCCGGGCCCGGGTCTGGCGAGGGCCCGGGGGACTGGCCTGGCCGCGGAGGCTCCGAGCCCGGTGCGAAGAGCACGTTGAGGACCGAGCCCAGCAGGAAGGAGGCGCAGAAACCCGCGGCCACCGCGGCCCGCCGGCGCCGCATCGCTCCCCTCCCCCCGGCCGGCCGGCCCCGCGCGGCTCCCCGGCCGCGGCCCCGGGAGGCTCAGGCTCCGAAGCGGCTACGCTCTGCGCCCCGCGGGTCCCCTGCCCAGCCCGCGCGCATGGCCCCGGCGGCCCCGACCCCGGCCCCTCGCGGGCTGCACATCGGCCTGACACTTGCCTCCCTCCCGCCCTGCCCCCGCCGCTTATAAGGCCCTGAGCCGCCCCCGCCCCCGCCCCCGCCCCCTCCGCCTCCGCCTCCCAGCTCCCGGCCAGAGCCCATCCTCGGCGCCGCCCCCTTCGGCTGCCCGGCCCGGCCTTCCCCGCTGACTGACAGCGGGACCTCCTCCCGCGGCCGTCCGGGCCTGGGAAGCGGCGCGGAGGCGGCTCCGGCCCTGCCCAGCCCGCGGCCCCCGAGCTCCGGCCGGCGAGAAAGGGAGGGGGCGGCAGCGGCCCCGGGACGCGCGGGGGCTCGGGCCCAGCGCAAGGGCGGATAATGGGGTCGGGGCGGCCGGATAACGGGACCGAGAGGCGGCTAACGGAGCCGGCCGGGCAGGGTGGGGGGGAAGATGAAGGGGCGAGGCCAGCGGGTAACGGGTTCTGGAGGGGACGAGCAGCTGGGTCTGGGGTGCTGAGGATCCGCGTGGTCCCAGAGCGCCCTCCCGGGCACCCGGGGCCTTGGGGCGGGCTGGGCGCAGGGAAGGAGCGTGGGTCCTGCCTCCCGCGAGTGGGACTGCGGGTGGCGGCTCCTGGCTCAGTCCCGGATTCGGGGGCGGGGGATGGGGAGGCGGCGCTGAGGGAGGGGCTGGCACCTGCGAGCGCGGGTGGGACGGGAACTCTGGGATCAGAAGAAAAATCTTGAAGTTTTCGGAGATGCCCTCTTCAACCTCCTCTACCAAGTTTTCTGATTTTCTTTGTCCCCGAAGCCCCAGGTGGAACCGCTGCCCCGGGATCCCCGCAGTCAGACGCGGTTAGCAGCGGATCACGAACCATATTCGTGCTAGTAATTTACAAAGAGTGCCTTTGTACCCACGGACGTGCGTGGTCCAGATTGTCTCTGGAGTGTGTGCATTAGTGTATCTGAAGGGGCTACTGTGTCCGAGGAAGGGAGTGTATACCGCGTGTGTAAGTAGGTGCTGACTCCACCAGAACTTCTGGCCCCTCCTCCTCCCTCCCTGATTGCATCATTAGTGCTAATTGAGGAGCTTTCACACGCCAGTGCATTAGTTGTTTGGAGTGAGCTCCCCTCTCCTGGGAGAGATAAGCCGCTGCCCCTCCCCCTCCCAGCCCTCCACTTCCCCACCGCCCAGGAACTGTCCACCTAGATCCTCCCACCTTCCTGGGCACCTTCCTGCCTCCTGGTCCTCTACAGGTTAATCTCTTTCCGCCCCGCAGTGTCAGAGATTGGCTGGAGAGGAGTCAGGGAGGAGGTGGAGGGCTTAGAAAATCTTTCCTCCAGGAGGCTGAAGAGGTTCTGGCCTTCCGACAGAAAGCACAGTCTCTGTGATGAGGGAGGGGACAGGAATCTCTGGCCGGTTCTTTTGGACCTGGAAGGGCAGAGGACAGCACTGAATTCTTGATCTCCAGCCTGTGATCCCACTGATGAAGGGACAACCAATCCTGACTCCTGGGGTCCCCTAAGACTCGGAGAGCTGGGGCCCAGTCTAACTTAGAAAACATGAGAGGGCTGAGAGAAGCCACGATTCTCCTGAGGACCTTGGGTTTGGTGGAGTTTGGTCTGGTCCTGTTTAGCTGCTCTGCCCTGCCCTGGCCCTTGGCTGCTGGGTGTAGGGGGAAGGCTCTGAGCAGATGCCCTCCCCAGCCCTCACACCAGATGTCTTTGGTCTAATTAACTGTGCTGGGAAAACCAACCTGGGTTTGTAAACAGAGCTACTGGCTAAAGTCAACAGGGAGCAGCAGCAAACAGCAAACATTCCCCTCACACAGCTACAGTCCAATCCAGCCGCCTGGGGAAGAGGGGAGCCTGGCGGATCATGGGGCCCCCCTGGCCGACAGCTGAGTCAGGGAAAGCCTCTCTACCTCTGTGACCCTAATATGGCCATTTCCTTACCAGTTCCAGGGCTCCTTTGCTGGGGAGGAATGGGGATTCTGGGAGGACAGAGTTGCCATTTCAAGATAGGCTCTGCCCCCCTTCCAAAGATCTCTTGGTATCTATTAGCCAAACCTCCTGATCCCCAAGGAATCCATTGTGGGGGGAATATTCCTTAACGAGCTTTCTCTGGGGCCTGCTCTGCTCTAGGGTCTTGGAGGAGCCTCCTAGGTAGGACTTGGCATTGAGAATCTATAACTCGGAGTTGGTGAATATAACATGAACATTGTTGAGTTCGTTACACATCGTGTAGGTATTATAATAACATGTTCTGAAATTAGATAATTGTTCCTGTGATATCTTTGCCAAGCTTCAGTGTTTCTGTTATGGTTTGAAAGTTCAACGCACACAGGGCCTGAGAAACAGGCCTGAGTGTACATACATACAATGCACACACATGAGCCCACTGAACAGTGGCCTCACACACAGGAACAAAGGCATTTCAGCACTCGCTCTCACACTCACTCTATCTCCCTTGCCAGCTCTCAGACATACAGACATATACAATCTTTGATGGAAATAGGTTTTTGGACTCTGAAAAAAAGGGATTGAACTTTTTGAACAGATTAGAGTTTCTGAATTGGCAGCTTCTTGAGTTCTTAACCAAATTGTACTTGTTTGCTTTTTCTTCTTCTTCTTCTTTTTTTTTTTTTTTTTTTTGCCACCCAAGGAGTGGAATCATCATTTCAAAGAACTGAAAAAGACACAGAACCCTGGCTGAGGATCCAGATCTACCGTCTGCCCATCCGCCCTGTCTCGAAGACCTGGCAAGGCCAGTAGCCTCTTTATTGTCTCCCTTTTCCCTCCAGCCCAGGTCTCAAAGACCTCTTTTGGAGTATCATTCTCCGGCTCAGCAACCTGGAGGATAAATTGAACTGGGCCTTCAGGCCTTTGTGAGCTGGCCCCAGCCCTCCACCTGGCCCAGTGACCCCCTTTTCATTTCCCTGCACAGAACCAGACTCCCCCAGCCCGCCGTCTGTACTGGCTTCTGACTTGCAGCCATCATTAGTGTTTTCCCCTGTGGCCCTCCCGGTTCCCTTTCCTGAAATGCCCGCTTGTAGCCTTTCTGTGTCATCTTTGCTAGCTGGTTTTTCAGGGTCTCCCAGAAAATAGTGAATTACAGATACTGCTTCTCCAACCGGGATACACGGGTCCCTGGGACCTTGAAGGTCTATTCTTAGAGTTTTTGTGGATTTATTTTCTTTAAAAGGAAATGTACGAAATACATTTCTCAGGTCTTGGAAACCTTGATGTAGAGCAAAGAGCTTTGGGATTTGGAGTCAAAGACACCTGGGTTCACATTTCATTATTCGAGTTACTTTGGGTGAGTTAGTTAACTTCTCTGGGTATTTGTTTTCTTATGCAGAAAATGGGAGATGATAGTAGTGCCTACTCCGTAAGGCTGTTGAGTGAATGAAATGCAAAGACGTAAAAAGTGCTTGGCACAAGCTAAGCCCTCAATATGGGTAATCTGTAGCTAGTATTAATGATGATATTAAACAAATAAACATCTGTGACAACATGTTAGACAGCTAACCATAACTCTGCCTAGAGGCAGAAATGACTTTAACTACTCTCCTTCCTGGTTTCCACTGGTGAAATCTCTCAGCCTCCTGGGCTCTCTCTGCGTCTGGAATTTTCACTTTTTCCCGAATCAGTAAACCAGTGGTGGAGCAGAAGAGGCCTCGTTGCCTCCCCCAGCCCGTGGTGAGCTGCACAGGGAAGACTATGAATCAAGGCCTGATTCTTGGTGCCACGGTGACCAAGCACAGGGAAGGCCTTGGTCTGTCCTCCCTGGGGCAAGGAGCTGGGGGAGGGGATGGGCTCGGAAAAGGAAGGGGGGAGGGAAAGGGGTGGAGCCGGCAGCCTGAGCCCCCACCCCCCCTTCCCTCAGGTAGGAAGTGAAGCTGACGTTTCCAAAATATAAAAAACAGATGATGAGGGTCAGGTTTCCTACACACTGGAGAGCGGGAGCCCCAAGGCAGAGTCCCCAAGAAATGATCAGAGACAGAGATGGGGGGCAGAGAGAGAAAGAGAGAGGAGAGGAGAGAAGATAGACAAAGATGCAGAAACATGGAGAGAGAGAAAAACGCCCCTGAATCCTGAGGGTAGTCAGACAAAGACAGAGACAGAAAGCCGTGGCTCAGGAAAGATCTTTCCACCCGTTTCTGGAAAAGAGCTTAGTTCCTCTCTGTGGGTCTCAAGTTGGGAACATGAGCCATTTTGGCTCCATGACCCTGGCAGAAGTTGAGGCTCTCCAGGACCCCAGAAACAAAAAGGCCCTCTGGGCTCAGAGCTCTCCCTGCCCGTGCTGGTCTCTGTCTGTCTGGGCCTCCAGATCTGTGGTCCAGAGTCTCCCTCCCCGAGCCAGCCTCGCTCTTCCCCCCTCCTCCCTCCTGCTTAGCTTCACCTACCAGCCCAGAGAGATGCTCTGTGACAGCTTCTCTTTCTCTCCCTTTCCTGGATGTCTGGGATGTGTGTCCTCTCCCTTCACTGGTTCCTTTGATTGGAGGAGCTGGGGGCGTGGGGCTGAGGACAGAGAAGGCTGAGAGGTACCTGTTTAGAGCCATTACCTAGGGGAAGGAGGGAGGCGGCTGCCTTGGCGTTGGACCCAGGCCAGGGGAGGGCTAAACACTAGGGTCTCTGTTCCCTGGGCAGATGGAGAAGCAGGTAGAGGGATGAAGAGTTGGCCACTGGATCAATGGGTGATGGGTGGACTCTGGTGGCAGGGGGTGGTAGAGAGGAGGCCTTTGCCTTTGTCCAGAGGCCTTTGCAGGGGAGAGGGATAGGAATGGGAGCATAGGGGCCAGGTGATCCGATCTAACAATTCACACCTTCTCTGACCAAGCCAAATGTGCCCTGAGTCAATGGGGCAGCTTTTCTCCCAGGCCATAGTCAAATAGAAAGAACCAGTTCTTCTCGAGCAGCCTCAGGGCTGTGGTTTGGAAAGTAGAGAAAAAAGAAGAAGAAAGAGGGGCTGTTGAGTTTGTGCATCTGGTCTTGGACCTCCAGAAGGCTCACAATTCTCTCCCTCTTCCCCAGCTGCCCCGGGAGGCTGGCCTGGACCCAGGCC